AATCTCACTTCATAGCACATCATTCCACACCAGCACGGGGCAGTAGCTCTTTTGGTTAAGAGTGATGGCTTGTGGCCTACGGTGACTAATGTGTGCATTCGATCAATTAAAATCCATTCTGTAGGTCTTACGTCTGGCTCTGATGTGCTAGCCCATAAGCGCAAGAAGTGAGTGTGTTTAGCTTTCTATTCACCCGATTTGAAAGTGAACGGAAACATAACGAGACCATACTAGACGACAAACGGTACGTACTAATGCACTACACCATCTCACCTGTAGACATCAACAGTCTTTAAAATCAGTATATCAAATATTTGTTCTTTGTTACATATGCTCTACATACAGAGTGATTAGAGTGTTAGTTGTTCTCTCCTTGCCCTCCGAGCATTTACTTCGTTCTTTACCTTTACAAAAGTCTTATCGCTCACTTTGTATTTTCTTATGATTTTTTATTTTTTATTCAATGACACCATCTTCTAACTGTTTTTATTATCACATCTCTCAGGTCTACAAAACTGGACGGCTCCGTTGGTCACTTGTTGCGATCATTGTGTCGCATAAACAAAAACTAAAATTTAGTTAAGTATCTTTAGTTAGACTAAAACTTTAACTCCCACCCCTACTGAGTAAAAGCAATTGCTCATTTTTATTCACCCGGCCTAATTTTTATTAACAAACGTTATAAATTAACGATGCGTTCAAAATAACAATCAATTAATTCTGGCGTAAATAAAGCGGTTTTGTTAGATTCTAATTTGTCCGCTTTTCTAGTTGAAACTTTTTTTTACTATCTTATCATAAAAGCATAAATCCTTATCAGGGTTTTAATTTTTTTATAAGTTCCATTGATCTTTGCTTTTAAGATAGCCAGTTACAAATTCGAGAAGTTCATTTCTAGATAAACTATATCCTTAGTCACCAAGTGATTGGAACGCATGCACATCATGTTTTCTTGTACATTTGTGACACCGGTGTTGTACCGGAGCCATGAAAACCTAAGTTTTTGTTATTTTTGCGATCTCTGAATGTTTAGACTAGAATTTTAGTGACGTATTGTTTTCTTTCATATCATTAATGCAGCTAATATATCATCTTTCTTGTGAACTTTTATTTTTTTAGTTGACATTTTGAAGTGAGTTGATGATTAAGTAAATGATGATTGTATTGACAAATAGCATAATTTATTCAAGTTAAACCGGAATTAACACTATGTTAATTAGACATTATTTATTATTATTTTTTTATATAATTTTTTTCATAGTCATACTCATTCAATTTTTACTTAATAGTTTTGATCAGTGTGCGAAATAGTATGGTGTGCAATTTAAATTATTAATCTTGAATTTAAATGATTTTTGGGTTTCAAAAAAACTTTTGTTGCACTAATTTTGAAAATAAAAATTTTGTACGGAAATTTTCTTCAAATACTGAAAAAATTTCAAAGGCCTATTAAAAATCTGATTAAGGTTTTTTATAGTATATGTTGCGAACTCTGGGCAGTTTTTTATAGTATATGTTGCGAACTCTGGGCAGTTTTTTATAGTATATGTTGCGAACTCTGGGCTTATCCTGTGCAGCAATAAATCGCTCGGCTGCTTCTATAGTAAGGGTGGAATGCAAGAAGCAAACTTGAGTCAAGCTCGACTTGAACTCTACATTGCAACCAATAGCGACAGAGTATGGGTTTTCCCCTCAAAAAATACTCTGCCGCTATTGGTTACAAAGTAAAGTTCAAGTCGAACTTGACTCAAGTTTGCTTCTTGCATTCCACCCTAAATGTTGCAAACTCTGCGCTTATCCTGTGCATCTGAAAATTGCTTGATTACTTCTGAAGTAAATGTTGTAAACTCTGCGCTTATCCTGTGCAGCAGTAAATCGTTCGGATCCTTCTGTTAAACACTGACAAGGAATTATATCTTTTTTGAGCCATTATTGATCTGACCCAGGTTTTTATCCTCTGCTGCATTGAAATATTCTGGATCATTGGGCAATTTTCTTTATCCATATTTTTAAGTGTCTTGCATATATATCGAAAATCAATTAGCATAGAGTTTTTAAAAATACTCGGTATGAGATAAAACTCACTTTCTATTTGATTCCGATTGAAATCTACATGGCAATCACATTCTAAACCTTAAATTCCTATGATCCGTCTTATTAATGGATATCAAAAACAGTTCTTCAATGTTTATTAATTTCTTGAATGCTGGTTGTTCGAATTGATCTTCTATTGCATTTATAATTACGTCAAGAACTTCGAAATATATTGGCTTAAAGTAATCATTGGCTGTTTCTTGGTAATAGGCGTTGCTTGTTTGTTCTTCGTAACCAATGACATTGAAAAATGGAAAAATAAATTAGGTTTTTCCAATGATTTGATTGAATTTGTTGCTTTCTTAACCATTGCAAAAACAAATTGAAGTCCTTAAATCTTTCTCAAATTTTTTATTGTACCAATCACTAAATATGCAGATTTTCTTCCAGTGGTTGCCGACATTTTTATTAAATAAAGGAATTTTGACAAGTTATCTGTCATAACGTAAAGCTTATAAGAGAAATTGATGCCAAAAAAGAAGTAAATCTGGCTCATCTAGCTCTTGCAACCAACGATTCTTTCTTTTGTCTCTTGGTCAAGTTTTTCTTACATCCGTCCCAAAGCTGCAAGAGTGATTCGTAATTGTCGATAACTCTCTTAAAACATTCTGCACAAACGGTCCATCTTTTCGTGGAACGTTTTTTCAGCTTTTGATGTCTCCTAGCAAATGTTCTCGTTTTAGTTAAAACTCTACATGTATGCATATTTCACTAATTGTTTCTTTACTAGACACATATGGGTTCGTATGGTTTCGTATATGGGTACATATGGTTTCGCATAATATGCGAAACTATATTATGGGTACATATTATGGGTACATATAGTATAAATAATATAAAACCATAATATGTAAAACCATATTATGGGTACATATTATGGTTACATATGGTATAAATAAAATAAACCATATTATGGGTACATATGGTTTTTCCTTGAAAAAATAAAAAATAAATAATTGTCTTCAACTCATGTTGTTTGGATTGTTAAATAGTAAGAAAGTATTTGACAAAAACTTATTTTATTTAGATCATGGGATTATAAGAGATATAACTTTATAATATGATATACTATATATAATCTTATACGTCCATGTTTAAATCAAATGTTAAATAAAATGTTTACTATACAGTAAATTGGCTTCAAACAATTTTATCTTTTGCATTCAAAACTTATTTGCACGGACTTAGAAACAAGCGTAGTAGGACGACTAAATAAGCGCGAATTTCATTATTGCACACTGGTATAAGTCCGAAGCAGTTGCAAAAACTGGCACAAGTGCGAACTGGCATAAGTGCGAGTTTGCATAAGTGCGCCGAACAAATTTGCAAACATTGGCATAAGTGCGAACTGGCATAAGTGAGAATTGGCAAATAAGAGCGCTGAATAAATTTACAAACATTCGAATTGGCATAAGTGCGAAATACTAATTTGCACTATGCTAGTTTGCACTGATGTCAGTTAGCACTGATGCCAGTTTGCACTGATGCCAGTTTCTGTAACTGCTTCGCACTTATGCGAATTCGAATGTTTGCAAACTTGTTTGGCGCTCTTATACAAACTCGCATTTATGCTAGTTTGTACTTGTGCCAGTTTTTGTCTCGCACTTATACAAACTGCTTCGTACTTATGCCAGTTCACACTTATGCTGATTCGCACTTATACCAATGTTTACAAAGTTCTTTTGGCGCACTTATGCTAATTTGCACACATGCCAAGTCACATTTATGCCAATTTTTGCAACGCTTCGCACTTATTATAGTTCGCACATATGCCGATTCGCGCTTATTCAGCCTCTCGAGCGTAATTTTTCGTTTTGTGAATTTTAGTTATTAGCTATGCTTTATTGTCAGTCAATGTTTCTACATTTTATTCCACTCTAGCTTGGTCGAAGAACTGTTACAATGCTAATAAATTATTTAATTAATCAAAAATAAAATAGTTTTAAAATAGATAAAATAACTTACCACCGCTGACGAATCAATCAAGTAATGATTTTTTTAACCAAGGACTATTTTTCATGGCGTAAAATAACTATTTACTTTACTTGAATTATAAACACTAAACTAATAAATACAGTCAATTTATTTTTGTGTATTTTGTAAGTAGATAAAAATGTTTCTATTTATATAATAGTATTCAATTTTTTTTATCAGCAAAAAAATTAAGATTACTTTGCAAAAGTAATCTTAATTTTTTCTCGGACCTCTTGTTGCCGTGGCTCATGTTACTTAGATCTTACGAAGGTTAGCAGACTTTAACATCCCTCAAAAGTAGGTCATTTTTACCGGTTACCGTTCATAATTTCATCTATAAATTTTAGTGGATTTAGCGTTTAAGCTGGTAAGTACATGATTCCATAGCGTAAAGTTAGGTCCCGTAAAATGTTCCGCAATTGTCCCGCTTCACGTCCAGCACAGAGTTAACATAATTAATTTTTGCATTTATAATTTAATTTATGAAATAATTAATATTCTTTAAATGTGGTGCACGTTTTCACCTGGTTATCGTCGAAGATTAAATTTAAATTGGTAAAAAAATTATTATTAGAGATAATGATAATTTAAATTTATTAGAAAAAACAACATTGAGTAGAGGTAATACAAGACATTTTAACTTTTTTAGAAAAAATATTTTAAATTTTGAATATAAAAAGCTTATGTTGATGTTTGTTTTACTACTCGTTTAAAAACATTTCTCAGGAATGACATTCCTCAGAGATTTAAAAATTTAAAAAATCTTTCGAATGTTTTTAAACGAGTAATATAACATAAGCTTTTTATATTCATAATTTAAAATATTTTGTCTAAAAAGGAATTTCCTCTACAAGCACGTTTTAAATGAAGTATCAATTTCCACGTTTGTATGTTTGTTACTGTTTAAATTTTTTTAGTTGTTATTTCTCAAGAAGGAAGTTAGGTTACTGTAGAAACATACGATGAAGTACTTTTTTTGATACATAGCTACAAAACAGAGACTGTATCAAAATTTTCATGCTATATTGCAGCTAAAAACTATGGAAATATGGGTATGACAATTTTAATTAAGTGTTTTCAAAATACAATTGCTAAATTTTAATTTTCTTTTATATGTTATTAAAAATTTTTGTTGTTGTTGTTGTTATCTTTAAAGATTTTTCTGCAAAACACAGTACCATTAAATGATTAAATATCATTTAATGGTATCAGGATGTAAAGTGCTTGATTGTATGCACGAGAATGGTAGAAAAGCCTCCTCTAAAAAAGTTTATAAAATTCATTTATTATTATATGTTTTTCTTTATCAATTTGTTACAAAAATAGCTCCTGTATTTAATGATTGTATGTCTAAACCTTTTATTTTTGTTCTTTTGTCTAATTTTCTTAATAGGTATCAGATCACAGTTTTTCAAAAAGCTATTTGCTATATTTAAATTTCTTGGTCACCAAGAAATTCAACTGTAGTTTTCAAATAAAAATTTAGAAAGTTTAAAAGTTCCCAAGTTTTAAGGTTTTATTTCTTTGTTTGTTTAATTTATATTATTTAAATGAGATTTAAGTCAGTCCTATTAACTATTCAAGACATACATGCATCAACTTAAAATATAACCGATTAATTTATGCTAATTCTTTTTAAAATAAACTTTGTTTTAGATTGCTGAGGATACTAAAATATAACCGATTAATTTATGCTAATTCTTTTTAAAATAAACTTTGTTTTAGATTGCTGAGGATACTAAAATATAACCGATTAATTTATGCTAATTCTTTTTAAAATAAACTTTGTTTTAGATTGCTGAGGATACTAAAATATAACCGATTAATTTATGCTAATTCTTTTTAAAATAAACTTTGTTTTAGATTGCTGAGGATACTAAAATATAACCGATTAATTTATGCTAATTCTTTTTAAAATAAACTTTGTTTTAGATTGCTGAGGATACGAAATTTAGAAGAGTGCTATTCTCAAACTGTATTAAAGATTTGTCAAGAAATAAAGTAGTAAGGGAAAGAGTGTTTCCAGTTTGCTTTCCTTCAAAAAGTTGTTAATTACAACTTTAAAAAACCCTGGTTTCTATCGACGCTTCAATTTAAATTCGCATTTTTTATTGATTTCCTGCCCCAACCAAACCCTGACCCAAATCATGTACATTTAATTGCGCCAATTCCTATTTGTCAGTTGATATATGTAGGGGAAGTGGGGGCATAACAGCACATGGAGGCACAACCGTTTTTTAACATTTCTCTTCAAAAAATGTTATCTAATATGGCAAAAAACATATCACGCGTTAGTAAAACAGTTTCCTTAATTTTGCATATGTCAAAAAGAGTGACTGTTAAGTTTCTGAGAAGTTGTGAATAATAATTTTTATTTTGATAAAAATATTATATTTACATCATATTTTTTCTGACCTTCTTTTTGAGAATTAAGCAATATTTAATTTTAGTGTTAAAAATATGTGTTATCAGCATTATTTCATGAAGTGAAAGTCATTTTTGATAATACCATAATCAAATAATTAATCTATGAAACTGAATTCTTTCTAAAAACTCTCTTCTGGGGTAGAACTCTCTTCTGGGGCAGAACTCAAAATGTAAACACAAAGAATGCCTGCACAGTATGCAAACATGCAACAAAATCATCAAATAATCTGAGCTGTAAAAATTGTAAAAAAAATGTACCATGAAAGGTGTAGCCTCATCGATTTTTTGAGGGTGCGGTTGTGCCTCATAATGGGGGCAAAACCATTTTTTTCACTAAAAGTTATTTTTGTGTAATAACATTTTCAAAACCTGTTTAATTTTTTTCTTAAATGCATCAATTTAAAGCTTAATGATGTGGTTATTGAAATAAACTGCTAAAAAAACACATTTCGTTTTTATTTTCATATAACATTATTCCAAACGTTACGGGGGCGGTTATGCCCCCACTTCCCCTACATTTATTTACGCCAATTCCTATTTGTCAGTACATTTAATCGCGCCAATTCCTATTTGTCAGTCGATGTATGTTCATCATTAAATATAAAAACATTAATTTATTTATAATTTATAACACATACAATACAGCTAAGTACTAATATTTTAATTTATTTATGTAATATTTCAGTCTGAATAGTTCAGACCGTCATCAGACGTAAAATTAAATACAATAAAACTCTCACAAAAAACGTATGTAAAAAACCGTTATAGAAGACATTACAAAGATGAGCTAACGTAACGTAAACAACTATTTTGAAATTTCTATGATTTTTTTAAAAAGAGGTCGCCAGCTATTTGACGCAATTTTAACACCGTTGTCTTTGTTCAAAAGCGGTGGGAAGTGTCTTTTAAACAAAGACAACGGTGTTAAAATTGCGTCCAATAGCTGGCGACCTCTTTTTAAAAAAAATCATAGAAATTTCAAAATAGTTGTTTACGTTACGTTAGCTCGTCTTTATAATGCCTTCTATAACGGTTTTTTACATACGTTTTTTGTGAGAGTTTTATTGTATTTAATTTTATGTCTGATGACGTTCTGAACTATTCAGACTGAAATATTACATAAATAAATTAAAGTATTAGTACTTAGCTGTATTGTATGTGTTATAAATTAAATAAATAAATTATCAAGTACTACAAGAAATGTCATTAAAACAATTAAAAACATTAATAAAAACCGGGTCGTTAATTAAAAAATTAATTACCAAAATTGTGATTAATAGTGTTAAAATGTTTTTAAAAAGATGGTGGAGTATTAGCGTTTTTTAATATGGATTTTTATACTTTAACATCAAATTAGAGTACTTTCCTCAAGTTTTCAGACCTATGTTTTTATATGATTTAGAATCAGTATAATGTACTCTATAAAAATCAATCATAAAAACAGGGGGGATGGGGAGAAAGTCGAGTAGCGCCTATATATATATATATATATATATATATATATATATATATATATATATATATATATATATATATATGTATATATATATATATATATATATATATATATATATTTTATATATATATATATATATATATATATTTTATATATATATATATGTATGTATATATATATATATATATATATATATATATATATATATATATATGTATATATATATGTATATTATATATATATATATATATATATATATATATATATATATATATATATATATATATATATATATATATATATATATACATAAATATATATATATATATTTAAATGAATATATATATATATATATATATATATATATATATATATATATATATATATATATATATGTATATATATATGTATATATATATGAATATATATATATATATATATATATATATATATATATATATATATATATATATATATATATGTATATATATATATATATATACATATATATAAATGTATATATATATATATACATATATATAAACATTGTATATATATATATATATATATATATATATATATATATATATATATATATATATATATATATATATATATATATATATATATATATATATATATATATATATATATATATATATATATATATATATATATATATATATATATATATATATATATATATATATATATAATAAGAAACTCAACTTCATTCAGAATATTTTGTTCTGAACATATTTTATATGCTCTTGAAACAAAACCTTTAAAAGTATTTATTGCTATATTGGGTGAAATAGAAGAATGTGGTTTAACTAATACATTAGTGATTGCTTGCTTACAATATATTGAAAAATCGTATTTATGAAGAAATTGATTGGTGGAAATACAAACGTCTAGAAAATTTAGTTGACTTAGAGAATTTTGGCATTCAATAGTATGCTGAATGGCTGTATCTTGTGTATTTAAAATATTTAAAAAAGAATTTGCGTCATTAATATTAGAAAATCGAGCGTGACTATCATCAACATACCTTTTATAAGTTATTGGTGCAGTATTGAAGCTTAAAGCTTGTTGGATAGCATTAAGTTTGATAAATTGTAAATAAGCTTCTGACATAATAACCATAATGGACAAACCAATCGGACCAGAATTTTTTAAGAAATTTTTAATTTTGTCGTCCCATAAAAAATAACATTTACTTACACAAAGTTCAATAAGCTTGTGAATATCTACTAATAACAAATTTAGTTTGCATCTTAAGATTATCTTTATCTTTGCTTAGAATATCAATTGTTGCTTTATCTAGTCTAAATCTGCAATGCTGCAATGACATCATTTTTGTTTTTAGTTTATATGAATTTTGTATATCGGTTTTTTCAGTTTGATAATGGCTTATACTATATAAGCCGAAATATCACCATTTATTAATAAAAATAATATATAACCGAACATGATGTTTTTAATCAATTAAATATATATATATATATATATATATATATATATATATATATATATATATATACATATATATATATAACAATGTATATTTGTAAACATATACAATGTTGCACAGTATAACCTGTTTTGCAAATCAGAGCTGAATAAATTCATCATTATGCTATTTAAAAAGATTTATTTAACTTTCAGTCTTTACAAAAAGTTAACATTTTAATTGCTTAGAACAGGCAACTTATATTGAATCTTTATTGTGACAGCTTGAGATTTGCAGTGGCTTGTAAACATAACCAAAATAAATCTCTATCAATGATTGTTGCAATATTGACAAGCTGAGTAGACTCTCTTTATCATGCTTACCATTTTTTTTGAAAAAAAGTTATGAAAAAGTTAAAAAAGATAACCATGTTATGAAAAATGAAAATGTTTCAAAACATAAAAATGAGTTTTCCATAAAGTAATAGACTGCCTGCTTGAACCAAAACCCTTACTTGATGTATGTACTTTTAGTGTACATATTCCTTAAAAATCAGTTGATATTCGTACACTAGCTCCATATATCTCTAAATGGTTATGAAAAATTATTAATTCAAGTAAAATATCTGTAGCTTATTTTTAATTAACAAGATTAAGAGCTTTTTTTAAAAGTTTTTTAAAATATAATTTTCTAACATATATTCTAGTTAACTTGGCTCATCCAATTAAAAAAAAGTTTACATTTAAAAATGTAAATTTTTAGTTTATATTATGCATATATATTATTTATAGTAGTTTGAACTACTATGAGTTGTTTTTTAACTTTTTTTATTTTTTGCAGTTTTATTTAAATTTATTTTTAAATTTTCATATAGATTGCAGTAGGTCAGATCAGAAAACGACAAATAGTAAAACTATATATATATTTTGGTCTGATAGTAAGAAAACTGTAAAATTGGTATAATTAGGGGGCTCCATGCAAAGAAAAATCCAATCTTCTGATTTAATTGTCATCACAGGTGCTGCTGGTTTTATCGGCTCTTGCATTGTGCGCCATCTCAATGATCATGGTTTTACCAACCTTGTCCTTGTTGATGATATTGGCACTTCTGACAAATGGAAAAACCTGCTTGGTAAACATTTCAAATACTTTATTGGTATTGGTCAGCTGTTCGATTGGCTAGGAGGAAAAGAGCACGATGTTGCTGCCTTTATCCATCTGGGTGCTTGTTCAGATACTTTAGAAACCAATGTCGACTATCTTCTTAATAATAACACTCGCTATACAATCCGATTAGCAGAATATGCCCTGCAATATGGACAGCGTTTTATCTATGCCTCCTCAGCAGCTACTTATGGTGATGGTGCTTTAGGCTTTAATGATGATCATGATATGTTACACAAACTCAAACCGCTGAATGCATATGGGTTTTCTAAGCAACTATTTGACCTTTGGGCACTTGAGCATGGGGTGATAAACCGTATTGTTGGCCTGAAGTATTTTAATGTTTTTGGGCCTAATGAGTTGCATAAAGGAAGAATGGCCTCCATGATTTGCAAAATGGTACCACAAGTGCAGAAAGAAGGGGTTATTCGTCTTTTCAAATCAACTGAGCCTGGCCGTTTTCCAGATGGCGGACAATGCAGAGATTTCATTTATGTTAAAGACGTTGTTGAGATGACCTGTTCTTTCCTAGACAATCAACATTGTGGTATTTATAATATTGGAGCTGGGAAGCCAACTACCTGGAATCAACTAGCCACAGAAATTTTTAATTCTATGGGTCTCCCAGTGAACATCGAGTATATTGAGATGCCATCAGATCTTGCCAAGCAGTACCAGAACTACACCTGTGCCAACATGGAAAAATATCATAATATTACTGGAAAGGCTCCTCTTAAGTTTAAGTTTGATGAAGCTGTTCGTGACTATGTTCAAGAGCACATTTTGAAGGAAGCTACATGGTAAAGCTGATTGGTTGAAGCTACATGGTAAAGCTGATTGGTTGAAGCTACATGGTAAAGCTGATTGGTCTGCTATCTTATGCTTGGATAACTATTGTATTATTATTTTTTTTTTATGTATAAAAATTTTATAGCTTCATGTATTTATAGTTTTCTACAGGCAGTTTTGAATTATTGAACTTTTTTTTTAGCTAAAAATTGGAAAAAATAATCTTTTAGAATAAGATCTCCACCTTGTACACATTGTTTTGCTTTTAACTCTTCCCTCATTTATTTCCCATAGTGCGTACATACGCACTATAGGAAATAAATGCATAAAAAATGTCAGTGGAGCAGAATTATTTGTTTTATAAGTAATTACCATATGGTGTGTTATAGCAAGATAAGCATACATTATTGATGTACGTTAGGCTGTTTCATTTTTTATCAATTTTTGAAACTGAACTTGCGAATCGGTTTATAGTCTGACCATTTATATGAAAATAAGTTTAAGCAAAAAAAATATATATAATTTTTAGGGTCCACGCCAGTTCAATTTTGGGCTAAAAATGTTGGTTGTTTTAAACGCCTTGCGGGGACCTTAAAATTTATCCTATAAAATTTTTTATTCCTTTAAATATTATATGCTGGATTTAATATTAATCACATAAAAGGAGCATGTTAAAAAAAAAAAAAGAAATTAGTCTACAGAATTTTCTGAAATAAGTGAAAAATTCAAATTTTTCACCAAAAATGCTGAACAATATAAGAAAATGTTAAAATTGCTACCGTTAAAGCTATTTTTTCCATAATAGCACATTTTGAAGGGAAAATTATCAAAGATATCACAAAAGGTAAATAATTAAAAAGAGATCAATTTGCAGTCTTGGTAAATGTTGATGGTAAAACGAAGCTTCGATGACGTGAAAGGTTTATGTTTTGATACAACTGCTACAAATACAGGAAAACTTTCTGGTACAAATGTCAGGTTTAGTCATAAACAAAATTCAATTGTACTAGAGCTGGCTTGCAGAAGGCAAGTTTATGAATTACATCTAAAAAACTTCTGTGAAAAGCAGTGCAGTGGAAAAAATAAATCTCCAGAAAACTTAATGTACAAACATTTTCAATTAAACTGGAATGACATTAATAGTGGCATCGACTTTTCAAAGTTTATAAAATATAATACGCAGTCTATTAACACTTTCTTAGAAATTCATAAACTAACACTTTTTTAGGCATTCATAAACTCGACGGTGTAAAATTTTGCGAGATCGCTCTAAAGCAAAACATTTTTCGCAGAAGAGATTGCAAAGAGCTTTTGAAACTGACACTTATGTACTTTTACCCTAAAAGAGTTTTTCAAGTTCAAGCTCCAGGGTGCGTGTCGCATGTACGGTTTATGTCTAAAACTATTTATTATCTCAAGATTCAGATATTGAGTTCGCAACTTTCTTATGAATCGACAGATAATCATAAGAAAGAAGTGCAGTCTACGGCCGAGTTATTTTAATCTTTTATTCCGTCTGGTTTTTAAAAACTTCTCTACCTTACGCTGCTCCTTATCAAGATATAAATGCCAATTGGCAAATCACAAAATATAGATAACACGTAGAACAATATGTTCAGAATTAAATAACAATTTTAATTGGAATTGATGCCACAATGGTGTCACATTCAATGGAATCACATTTATGGTACCTTGAAGAAACCTTGGTTCCACTTGCTCTTTTAGATAAAGAAATTTTTGTTGTAGGGATAGAAGATGTTGCGAAAATGCTCTTCTCAAAACCAGTTCTTGAATTTTTTCGGTATTACGAGAAATTAAATTTGTTAAAAGCTCTTAACTTTAAGCTAGAAAAACAATTATTTATTGCATAATTAATGGGAGAAAACTCTTGGTTCATATTTAGTTTGTTAAACCTCACTAAACTGAATGATAAACTTTGGTTAAACAGCCCGGAACTACTTTGGGAGTATGTTGACCAGTTTAAGATTTTTTCTCAATTTGTCTCCAACCTTGCAGTGGTTAACGACGTTTCTGAAAGATCTATTAAAAGTTGTATCAGATTTTGTAAACAATGTTCACAATGAAGATAATCGTCAGGAGTTTCTACTTTCACGAGGCAAAGACAAAGGAAGATTTGCAATCAGCATATAAAGCAATTGCGAAATAAATAATATAGTTTTTAAATGATGACGTTTATTTAATGTTGAAATATTCAATTGTAAATATTTTTTTATTTAATAATACTTAAACATTTCATACTTTTTTTTTCGCTTTTTTACAAAAACAATTATGTAACAATACCACAAGAATTATTAAAAAGTTAAAGAGCTTCCATAGAAATCTTGAAGCAACAAAACTAATAACAACAATATCACTTATAACAATGTTGCAGTTAGTTCATTAAGTCTTTTTATCTTAAAAAAACTAAAATAAATTATTATCAGTGCTATTAAGGTTAGCGTAAGGGTCAGGTTACCTACAAGGATAAAAGAAAATTTTTTAAAGACATATATAAACCTCATTTGACACTATTATAAAAACTATCCAGTTTATAGTTTTTTCCGTGTCTGGAAACAGTTTATTAAAAAATCGAAAACGTTTTTTATACGCCACCGTATGATAAAATAGGTTTTTGCGATAGAAAAATTTGGATTTTGCACCAATTTCATAAGACTAATTTCTTAATTTTTTCAACATGCTTCTTTCATGTGATTAATATTCAATCAATTTTTGGATGAAATTTTAAATCTGTTAATAAATTTAAATTCAGTTTAAGATTTAGAAGTTGAAAACTTCACTACACCAATTTCCTCAAGTTAGGCAGGGGAGGGGAGAATAAATGAGGAGCCCATCTGCAAAGTACGCTAAGTTACAAATTTAAAAACTTTGAGTTAATTTCATCTCTGTTATCTATTTAAATATTAGCAGCCGTGGCTCAGTGGTAGCGCAATTGCCTCAGAAACGTAAGATCCGTGGTTCAAACCCCACCTCTAGGCAAGTTTTGCGACATCGGTTGGGAAGGAGGCGTGAACTTCCTATTAAATGCTCTTCCGCGGTGCTCTGTGATAAGACTGTAAGGACTTCTTGGGGCACCTTAATCAACTTAAAAAAAAAAAAAATTAAACTTATTAAATAATGTTTACTCCGTAATATGGACTAGATTATTAATTTCTGTTTATGCGCAACTAAGAGTAGTTTAGTTTTCGTTATTTTCTCAAAATCTTTTTATTCGGACATAGCGCGTTTTGCAAACTCCTCAAATATGATTTATGATAAACTTGTGATGTAAATGATAACTACTATAAATGATACATAAACGTTAATAACTACATACATAAACGTTTATAACTACATACATAAACGTTTATAACTACATACATAAACGTTAATAACTACATACATAAACGTTAATAACTACATACATAAACATTAATAACTACATACATAAACGTTAATAACTACATACATAAACGTTAATAACTACATACATAAACGTTAATAACTACATACATAAACATTAATAACTACATACATAAACGTTAATAACTACATACATAAACGTTAATAACTACATACATAAACGTTAATAACTACATACATATTTGTAATGTTACCCTCAACAATGAATAACGTGTATGTATGTTCATTAATTCACCCTCAACAATGAATAAGGTGTATTTATGTTCATTAATTCACCCTCAACAATGTATAACGTGTATTTATGTTCATTAATTCACCCTCAACAATGAATAACGTGTATTTATGTTCATCAATTCAACCTCATCAATATATAACAAGGATGTTGGTTCATTCATAATGCTATTTTGATCCCAATATCGCTACAATTATCTTTGCGAACAAAATGTTTTCAAAACTTTCAATTTAACTCAATACCGCCTTTATTACCACCTTTATTTAATTATTGATAAAGTAATGTAATTTACTAAATTATAGTACTTAAAATAATTTATTAAATTATATTACTTTATTTAATTGTCACATTTACTCAAAATTATAAAGAAAATGAAATATCAAAAATTCAAAATATTAAAGTGATAATTTTAAATCCAGATAATTTTAAATATATTAAATTAACGGAGTGAGCATTGGACTTCCCTTTAATGTCTTACTTAAGGTTTTACTGACGCCAGTGCCCACTCTCAAGACACCTTCAAAACATAAATCAAGTTAGAAAATAAATAAATTGAATTACAAATTAAAAAGGTTACGTTTTAATCAGGGGGTATCTATGTAATTTATGGCACAGTACAATGCTTTGAAGTTCACATGCAGTTTTTAAGTAGTTAGATAATTTTGACAAAAAGACAAAAAACTTCATAAAGAAGCTTGTAAATAATTGATATTTGAAAATCTTTCATAATTCAGGTCGAACAAATAATTTTAAATAGGGGAAAGCGGGGCAACATGGCGAATGGGGCAAGATGGGTTTTCATATAACAACTCAACAAAAAATCTTAAAATTTGGTGAAAACAAAACTTTATTTGCGTCTTATATTTTAAAACACCAATTGGTTTTTTGAAATATTATTAACGCAATTTTATGCGCATAAGTTTACTTTTTGCACTTAAAAAAAAATTCCTCACTTTCGATTTCTCATAATGGATGGTGTCCTTCAAGTTTAACTTCTTTAGAAGTAGTTTTTGCAATTTGTATATATTTTTTGTTACTTTAGTTAAAGTTATTGGTAGTTTTTAAAATTTTATAAAATTGAAGGTAAAAATTGCATAATAAGTCATCTTGCCCCGGTCACGTGACGAGATGACAAATTTATGAACTTTTTTTTTAATATTTATTTCAAATTGTTAGATTTGCAAAGTGAAAATTCATGCAGGCAATGAATCATTTTGATAACATAAACATACTGAGAAAGTATTATTGCTTCACGACTGATAGTTTTGCAATAACTCAGGCCTTTCAAAACATTCGCCTGTTGCCCCGCTTTCCCCTATATTAAATAAACGAAGTGAGCATTGGACTTCCCTTTAACGTCTTACTTAATGTTTTACAGACGCCATTGCCCACTCTAAAGGGACCTTCAAAACATAAATCAAGTTAGAAAATAAATAAATTGAATGACAAATCAAATAGGTTACGTTTTAATCAGGGGGTATCTATGTAATTTATGGCACAGTACAATGCTGTGAAGTTCACATGCAGTTTTTAAGTAATTTGATAATTTTCTTTAAAAATCATTATAAAAATTAAATAAAGTTTTACAATTTTTTCAAACTTTTCTTGTTGTCTTAACAACAGTTTTGGTTGTTGTAACTGTCCGACTACTCGACGTTGTTCCCGTAACTGTATTCATGCTTTTCCAAATCAAAATAGCGTCAATCAAAAATAAAAATGATGCAACTATTCCTAGACCCTAAAAAAGCAAAACATGGACATAAATAATGATTTTATATAACTTTGAAATTAATAATTATCTACAATATAGGTTTTGTATATTTTAAAATAGCAACGTCATAAATAAATGAAGAATAAATTGTTAAAAAAACTTTTTGCTAACTTTTTCGATCACTTTTCAGGGCATCTTTTTCCAAGACGTTATAAAAATATAATAAAAAATTGTCTTTTTTTTTAATAAATAGATAAATTTTTGTCCGCGTATAAATTAAAAAAAAAATTTTTTTAATGAAAATTCTCTTAACCAAAATTTGCGATCAGTAAACTTAAAACGTATCCTTTAACCGGTAGATTTTTTTACCGGTCAAAGATCTTTTTTCTAAATGGACACCTAAATTTTATATTTATTTTATTATTTATCAAAACGTTATATTCTTGTTTTTAATAATTAGATATTGTAAAAGTTATTTAAAAAAAAAGATCTTTTATTATTCATTAAAAATATATACCTTGTATTTTTCTAATAATTTTGAAAAATCACAATTGAAAAATTTTAATATTTAAAACGTTTAAAAGTATATACTCTCCCTAGACTCTCTAATTTTACCCGTATTCACCCCGCATTCAGAAATGATTCTCAATGCCGTGTTGAGCAAAATATCGCGCAAGCTTTTAGATCTTGATTTTGTTGACTAATTTAGATAAAAATTATACTGAAGATGAACTGGAGATTATTATAAAATTACAATTTTAAAAGGAATTAAGCTTATCTTGGAATATTTACTTCAAGAATATCTTTGAAGACCTCCTATGAGTCCCAAAGCTCAATTGATTAGTTTAACCTCTAAAGATCTTTTTAGGAGTTATATTTTTGAGGACAATAGTTTTTACTTTTTCTTTGTTTTGCATTAAGTTCTTTAGATTTCCATTGCATAAACTTATGACATCATCTAAAAAAGTGTTCCAAGCGGTTTGCTTTTTGAACTGCGAATTTAAAATATCTTAGGTTGTTTTATTGCTCAATATGCAATTAAATAAGTTTAGCTTTTTTTGCTGTACGATTGTTGATACATCATGGATATAAAACAAAGAATGAATATAATTTTTGCTTTGTTTGGAAACATTGAAGAGTGACTTAAGTGCATTTCTTACTATTACATCAAGCTTTTTCATTAATATGTCTTTATAATCGCAAAGTTCAAGACCATACGTAAGTACCGGAACCGGCAGTGTTTTATCTAGCTGGACAATAGAGCTTGGATGAGCAAAGCGGTTTCCAGATTGAATAAGAGTTTGGATTATTGCTCTGAACTTTTATGTTCTATAATAACTATTTGAACGATTAGGTACGGCAAAAGAAGAACTTGTAATACCCCATAAAAAACCTTGGTGACTAAGTTTATCATCCAGTTTTACTTGTTGGTGGTCGACTGTTTTCGTGCAGTTTTTCCCAATTAACAAGAAATCAGTCTTGTCAGCATTTAACTTTATACAACTTGCGTTAGTGTATATGTTACAAGCTGCTATAAAGTTTTAAATTCCAGACAGGGTAGGACTAAGAAGTATGATTTCATCAGCGTATGCTACAACACTTGTATAGTTTCCATATATTGATGTCCCTTCGATGCTTTCATTTTGTATGGTTTCAAGTAGGATTTGAGTATATATATTATGCAGGTGAGGAGACAGAATTGATCTTTGTCTCACTCCTTATGTTTGATAAAATGGATATGATTTGCATCTTAGATAAGCGACGAAACACTGCTTGCATGGCACAATGATGATTTAGTATTAATAATATAAAACGGTAATTTTTTATTGTCGAATAGTTTTTCATTTAGAATGTCCCAGCTACAGCTGTCAATATATATATATATATATATATATATATATTTATATATATATATATATATATATATATATATATATATATATATATATATATATATATATAACCACTAAAAAATATTTCAACTGCTCGTTAACATAAAAACAAACGTTTAAATATTTTTTTTATTAATTCCGCTGACGGGAGGCAAAAAGTTGGCCTTATAAAATGTTTTAAAAAGTATAAAACATATGAAAATAGTTGAAAACTTTTTTTAGTGTTTAATTTGTGCCCCTGCGCATGTCATTTTTAAATGCAATTAATGAAATTTTTTTATGCATCAAAAGTATGTTAAAATTATTAATAAATTTAAACTTACCCCTGCAGCTTCGTAAATTGAACAACTTTTATTATACTTGCATTGCCAAGATGTAAATCGAGCTGCTTGTGCAGCGACTAGAGCTCCAGATATCAATAACAATACAAACCAAAGCAAATGAACAATTACAAACTTGAAATTACAAAAAAAAAATTGTTTGAATTTTTGTTTTAGAAAAAAATTGCTAAAAATGATCTTTAAAAAGTTTTACGAAAACATAGGAAAAACTTACAATAACCACTTTGTTAGCAAAGTCAAAATGATGACACAGCATAAAAAGATAGCAAAAAAACCAGACCAAAACAAAAATAAACGAGGCAATGTTTACTCCCAAAAAAAAATTTTCTCTGATTCCTCGATAAAAATTTGCATCAATCATACACACAAATGCTGCCAAAGTGCATATCTAGAATTGATTTTAAACTTATCTTAAGACTTCTAAGAATAATAACAACAGCAAAATAATTATTTTGACAACAAATGTCACCACACTGAATACAAAACTCAAAAACTTTTAATAGTAAATATCTAAATAGAGAACATAGAGTATTTTTACTTAATAAAAAACCAAATAGCATTTAGCTACGAGGAAAAAAAAGTATTAGCATTTAGAAAAAAGAACCATTGTTTGAAAATAACGGAACTTTTGTCGCCAACAAAAAAACATATTTTAAACAACTTTAAAAATATTAAAAAGTTTATCGCAAAAACTCGTCTTAATTACTTTTATTCCTTTACATTCATAGTAAGTTGAATACACAAAAAATAAAATACCTTTTTATTCAGTAAACAATATCATTAATAGTCAATTGCATTTAACTTCAATGCTTTTTAGAGTAAGGCAGGGCGAATTCGTTACAGGATAAGGGGGAGGATTCCGTCGCTTTTGCTATTCAGTAGTCTGATATGTTTAAATACGTTTTTAAAACGTTTAAAATAGTCTAGTATTTACTGGGAATACAAGAAAATACTAAAAACAAAAAACTTACTTGAATAACGAAAATTTATAAACTACGGAACCATATTTGAAAAAAACAAACAAGTTGTACTCAAAATATGCTTCAAAACATTAGATTTAAATTTTAAAAGAGACAGTAAAATCAAATATTTTGGTTGAAAGATCTTTATTGACCTTATACATCAGCTTAAAGAGTTTTGTACCCGATTTTTTTAGAAAAAGATATGTTGTATCGTAACGGTATCAAAAGTTATTTGGCTGTTAAATCAACTGAGCTATAGATGGATATTAAAATGTTTTCTAACTTATTGAGCACAATGCCTGTAACTAAATAAAACACGTGTTAATAAAGGTTTTGCCCGAATACATGATGCTTCTTCACCTTGTTGTAATTTTTACACTATTTCTAACAAAATATGATCTAAATTACTTTGAATTATTTTTTTGTTAAAAAAAGTTTTACAAGTATAATAAAATATTCCTCGTACAAACTTAACAACCCGTATAAACTTAACAATCCTTACAAACGTAATTTTTAATGATATAGAAATTAGTTATGTAGAAACAGAGGAAAAATTATTGGCACTTAACCGATTCAAAAGTGTAGGTGTGGATGGTGAATAGAAATTTTAATGTGGGCCATGTATGGCATTTGCATGCTAACCAGATGCTTACCACTCTCTTTTATGGGATGGCGTTGATGCAACCCATATGTGGCTATAAGGTTTATCCCACTAAAACCACACTAAATAAGAACGAACGCCACGCTTCATTTGTGCGTGAAAGTTTCATGTGACCCACGTGTGGGAAGCACATGTTAGCCACTTATTTACCGCTCTCCTTCATGGGATGGCGTTGGTGCGTTTCATATGTGGCTTTAATGTTTATCCCACTAAAAACACACTAAATAAGAGCAAACGCCATACTTCGATTGCATGAAGTAGTCATTTTATTTCTTCAGTCTATCATCTGTTGAATTATTATATTCTATCAGTATGCCCTATAATTTTATGGAAAGTTTATATAGAACAACAATTTTCTAATATATTCATTACAAAACCGCTCAAACATTTTTTATTTATTTTTTTATTAAAAAATTGTAAACATTTACATTTTTTTATAAATTTTATAATATATATTGTATACTTATATAAAAGCAGGGCCGTACCAAACGACGAAGACTTGGGGGGGGGAGGGAGGGGGGGCAAAGGAAAAAAGCTAAATTTACAGACAAGGTTTTTTTTTAAGCCAAATTTCAGTTCTAAACAACAGAGTCCAGAATCTTCCAATTTTCCAACAAAAACCGACAGAATTTTGTAAATCTGAGGGTGAGGGGGGTGGGGGAGGGGAGGGAGAGGGAGGGAGGTGCCTACTCCCCCCCACCCGTTGGTACGGCCCTGTATATAAGTAATATAGTTTTAAATAATATTCTTTTAATAATATGCCGTTATATAATCTAAATCACACATAAATCACATTAAAAAAAACATAGTTTAGTAATGATATCAAATTGTATATTACAATAAGTAAAAGTCCTAACAAACCTAGGTTTTTATTTTTTATTTTATATATTTACACTTTTTCTTTTATATATGTTTATTTTTATTGCTCAACCTTACTTACAATAGTTATGAATTGAAAATTATCAAAACGATAATCCACATGATATCATGGAATATTCTAAAATACTTCAAATTAGTAGTTCTTGTTTTTATCTGGATTGTTTTAAACTATTATAATTATTTTAGAATTAAAATATTGTTGAAAGATTCTGTCAGAATGTAATCTATTAATAGTTGGTTGAAAAAAATATTGAACTAAATAAATCAAAAGTAAAGTAGCAAAGCAGATGTTTTTAAGGAGACTTGCAATCCAATTTTTCAAATATTAACTTCATCAGTTATAAAAAGTACCTGTACCTGATAAATTAAAAATCTGAAAAATTGTACCAATCTAATATAAACAATTATTGGCCAATATTAATCCTTTCAGTATTTTCAAAACTTCTCGAACTTTACAATAAATTAAAAAAAATATTTAAAAACTAACAAAACTATCAATAAAGGTCAATATGGTTTCCAAAAGTGCCACTCAACAGAGCATGCAATTCTTGACCTATCAAATAGAATAAATTAATCATTTTTTTTTTAATTTACTTTAGGGATCTTTATTGATTTGTTAAAGGCATTTGACACCGTCAATCATGAGATTTTGCTGACAAAAATGAAAAACTAAGGTATAAAAAATCAAGTTTTAAAATGGTTTAAAAACTACCTTAAATAACAGGCAACAGTGTGTTATTATAGATAGAAAAAGTAACTCAGATTTACTAAAAATAAAATGTGGTGTACCCCAAGGTTATATTCTTGCTCCTCTTTGTTACCTACTTATGTAAACAATCTTTCAAATGTCTCTAATATCTTTATAACTATCATGTTTGCCGATGATACAAACTTATTTTACTCATCAAAGACAATCAAAGACCTCTTTAAAAAACAAATGTTGAGCTAAAAAAATTTAATATATGGTTTAAATCTAACAAACTATCAATCAATATAGAAAAAACTAAATATATAATATTCCACTCTAATCAAAAAATTAAAAAATTACCCCTGACCTACCAACAATTAATATAAAAAATATAGCCATTGAAAGAGCTCTGAATACAAAGATTTTATAGGTTCTAATTCTTGAACATATCTCCTGGAAACCCCATATAAGCTACATAAACAAAAAAACATCAAAGAACATAGATTTAATCTACAAGGCAAGACTATTTTTGTTACAAAAAAGTCTAAAACTTGTTTACTTTTTATTTATACATAGCTATCTTATGTACCCCAATTTAGCATGGGGCAGTACCCACAAATCTAAATGAACTACTTACGTCAAAAACACGCTTCAAGACTAATGTGCAACAAAAACAAATTTACTCATGTTCAGCTCTAACTAAAAAAAAAATGAACGCATTAAATATATAATAATAATAATAAGGTATATCTCTAACACATACATATATACCACGTATGTAACTGATTTTTTATGTGAATTTCACGTCTAAAATAGAGGTACTCGATGACAAGACTGGCTTCAGTCTTCTGCAAGCTTTCTATAATTACAAACAAGTAATATTCTAAATTTATAGTCCAGTCTCTATAAGCATTTGCAAATTCAAACCTAGCTTTTCAATTTTTCTGAGAAAAAAAGGTTTTTTTGCTGCTCTAAAGCTCAAAAGTTGTAACTGTCTACAAACTGTATTTTAAGACACGGAAAGGTTCAGTTTTTTAATGGTATTATTAGCACTGTCAAACAGGTTCTTTTTAACATGACGAATAATTCTGTCGGTGAAACAAGATGTTTTGCGTGGTCCTGCCTTAATGATCTATTACTTATAGACTGCTTTTTGTAAATCGATTAGCTATTTGCCATACAATTGACTTTTTAATCGAGTATTTTGTTGCAAATTTTTTTGTTTTACTTCTATCTTATAATCTTTTACAATACGTTATCGAAAAGCTAAATTATACTTGTTTTCTGTCATTATAAAATCCTAAACAACATGAATACGCAATCTCAAATTAATATTGTAATGATAACATTCCATTTTCCTCTCTAGATAAAAACTAATAATTTGTCGGTTCTCATTGAATTGGTATTAATGATTACAGCACTTGAAAAAAATTTCAAACTATCAATTTAGTGATGTTTAATTTTCCTTTTGTGGTTATTGAGGTGCTTTCTAGAAGTCCTTAACTTGTAAGTTTACGCCTCCTTAACAATGTTGTATATTGGGCTAAAGCCAACGTCGGACCTCGAACTTCTAGGTTGTGAGTAAATAAATTAAAATAAATTAACAACCGATTTTGCTGTTTTTTCAGGAAAAAAAACCTGTTTTTGTTCTTGTGAAAACTGAACAAAAAACTTGTTAACCGGTTGCCAAGCCCTAGTTAACATCAACCTGTTGCTATATTTTGAAATTTTTGTAAAAGAAAAACCATTCCTACATTTAGCTTTAAACAATCTTTAAAACGAAAATCAACATGACTTTATGTCATGTTGATTCTCTTTATGTTGTTGATACATATTAATATGTATTTTTTTGGGCGTTTGTGATTAATGGAGTACCTCAAGGCAGTGTCTTAGCACCACATTTATTTATAATTTTTATTAATGGTTTATGCAAAACAATGCAAAACCAAAGTATATAATGTGCTGATGATACCATAATTATCGCTGAAATAATTAATTTAAATTTAAGTGGTTTTTTCAAAATATTATTAATCTGGTAGGTTGATAAAATTTAATTAAGCAAAATGTAAAGTGATGTGGCAAAAACAATTATGACTTCAACTACATAATAACAACGAAAGATGGTTCTATTTACCTTATTGCATCGAGTTACTGTGAGAAAGACCTGGGTATTATGTTGTCTAATGATTTGAAATAGAAAGAGCAATTTAACTATGCATGCAATAAAGCAAATAGAGCTATTGATATTATACGTCGTACCTTTACATTCTTAAATAAATTAGGTCTTCATACCTTGTTGGTAACATTAAAATGTTAAAGAGAATGTACAAAGACGAGTAACAAGGTTGTCACCATTATTAAACAAGTTACAACACAAAAAAAGACTTGAAATACTTAGAATAAAATTTTTTTAATAGAAATGTTTAAAATTGGAATAATCTAAATATATTGAAACGTGATACAACTTTGACCAAGAATTAGCTTAGTTAATAGTATAACATTAGTAACACGTAATAATCATAATTATAAATTGAAATCAGAGGATGAATTACACGACAGAAAAATATAAACTGAAATTATAAACTGAAAGAATTACACAATAGAATCACAAGCAGAGCACAATTTTTAACAGAAATCAGATTGCACACCAAGATACAACTTTTTTATAATTTGCATTCAACAATTTGAAACAAGTTAAACTCTATTACAATCAATGCACAGAATTAAAGTAATTACAAATGTTTAATAGACAAAGAAAACGATTTTAAAATGTAACTATTTTAATAGCTAAATTTTAATCTGCTGAAATGTTTATTTTATAGATCCGTTGAATGGCTATTTAAAATCATCTAATGAATAAATCATCTAATTTATCTTTAAATTTTCGATATTCTTTTTTCCTTTATCAAAATTAGTTTCCATTACAAATGGATATGATCCAAATCCGCCCAATTGCTATTTAAAATCTTCATTAAATCAACTAAATTATAATATAAAAATAATAATTTTATCCTTTAATTATTACATTTCTTGAAGCTAAAAATTTTGAAATTTTTAGCTTCATTGAATTTTGATATAAAACTTGTATTCAATGTCCATGTATACAACCATTCTAAGACAATAAGCACCATTCTAAGCTTGAACACCAGGACTAGTTAAATTAGTCAATCCAAAAAGAAGCACGGAAAAAAAGAGCAATTCCACGCTTCAAACAAGCCTGTTCTTCCTTTATACTTTATGGTAATATAAAACTTGCGTTCTCTTTGTTATCTTTAAAAAATTCTAGGATTTAATGGGACTAAGGTCCCATTAGTACTATTGTCATTCGATCAGTGTCTGATGTTGAATTCAATAGAGTAGAATTGTTTGAAGTTTGTGTCTAGTTTATGTATCAAGATCACTTTTACATATTTTTTGGTCACTGTGACAATCAACTTAAAAATCTAACAGATTTTTCTGGTAGTCTTCAAACTCATTCATCAGTTTTTGCAAACTAATGAATGAGTTTGCGGAAACAGATGTTAATTTAAAGATAAAGTTAAAACGTCGCTATTAACATTACATTATTATTGACATTATATTGACATTTTGTCACACAATTACCAAAATGACTTGATCAAAGTTTTTGGTGTAAATGTCAGAAAAGTAATTGCTAAAAAGAGTAAATTTTCTTAGTTCTTGTTTAGTTCTTGTTGACAAAAAGAAAATTATTTAAAAAAATTAAAAAATAGCATTAGTTACTTGTTACTTTTATGGTGGGCAGATACGAGAGAGAGAGTAATTGGAACTTATCATATAGTTTTCGTGATGCCAAAAAAAAATTTACTACAAACTATAAGTAGTTTGTGTAGGACTGAAATTGTTGTCCGATGTTTTGATGGTGTTAGTGTAATGAGTGGGTGAACTAATGGTGTTTAGACCAGGGGTAAAGAACGTGCACCACATTTGACAAATATACATTGTCACGCTCACAAATTAAACTTTGTTTTAATTGCAACAGTTTCCAAATAATAGAATTGTCGGAACTGTGGTAACGAGAGACTAAAATTGTTGGAGCTTGAAGAGCTAGTAAACTACTTTGCAAAAATATTGTAACGATGAAACTTTAATAAGTTTTTAATTTTTTAATCATTAATATTCTATTAACTAAAAATATAAAAAGTGGTTTACATAGTGATTTAAATTGTTTTCCTCATTATTATGATTTTGTTATGGATGGAAGGGGAAGATAACTTGTTTTCGCAAATTGCCCCACCTTCCCCATGTTTTTGCTGTATTGACACTACTGATTTTATGGGTGCTAAACTCTACAACTGCTAATAGATTGTAAACCACAATCTTTTGATTGCAGTAAGGAAAACTCAACTGTTTTGGAAATAATTTAAAAATATTATTTTAATTTTTTTCATTTTAATCTAGTTTATGCTTTTATAAATAAAGTATCTTATATATTTTTGATTGATACTATTTTAACGGAACACGATAAAATAAGAGTAAATATTATGTATACATTTTGTATAATTATTTGTAACAAATAATAAATAAACTACAAAGGTTTGTCACAATAACGGTTGGTTGGTTTTCTGAAGTCGTGCGTAAAGTGTAAGAAATAAATTAAATATTCAGATAGTTTATTAGATTCACTATAATTTCTTTTTTTTGCCGAACAATTCGAAACATCGAAACTGATGGATCTAAGTCAAAACTTTTAATACGTCGTCACAGCTGTTACGTCACACAGCTGTTAAGATGGCAGCTGTTAAGATGGCATTTTTTGATATTGGTTCAAAAAAGTATTTAAGTTTGTCGCGTTGCGTTGCGTAGACATATAATTGGCTCCATATTCGGCCAATTTTTTTGTAGCTAATTTTCTTCTTTTATACCTCTATCAAACAAAAAAACTCTCTTTAGTCATCAAAATAGAGTTTTGTAATGACTAACTAATAGTGTTGTTATTCTATATGCTTAATGTAATTTTATTAAAACATTTGTGTTTTCAATTTTATATACTAAATAATGCTTGTATTAAAACATTTTTTTTACAAACAATGCGTTTTTCATTTATATGCTGAGGCAACACCAACTGTAATTCTTTTTAGGCCAATAAACACAGTTGATACCAATGCTGGTATTCTTGCATTTGCGCAAAAAGGGTCATTTGTTAAATTAAAAACAAATATTTAATACTTTAGGAATGCTCTAAGAATGATCAGTAGTAGGTAGTAAAAGCAACTCCTTCTTTGATCAAAACATAATAACAAATATACTTACACCCTCAAATGAAGGGTGTTATTGTTTTAAAAATAGTAAAAAGTAACTCTTTCTTTGATCAAAACACGCAAGTATTTTAAGAACAAATAAAATTTTGATATTAATTCAGTAATAAAAGCAAGTCTATGATCAAAACATACTTACACCCTCAAGAATTTTTATTATTCCTAAACATGATGTTAAGTAACCACAATTCAATTGTACTGCCATAGATACGATTTTTTTTTTTTTTTTTTTTAATAAAAAAAACTAGAAGCAAATACAAACTGCAATCATAAATTCATGTTCAAATCAATGCAATAATGTTTATTTGATCATAACTTTGTAACTACGCTTATAATAAATTGCTACGTTCGTAAGATAGCGCACATGTTCGTAAGCTAAAGAAGTTGCTAAGCTTGTAAAAGCCGTTGCTATGTTCATAAGATAACTGTTTTATTGTATACGAAATAAATTACCAATCAGATGTTAGTAAATATGGCTTCTCCAAAATACTTTATAATTCAATAGCACCTTATTTTTGGCAAATAACAATTTACTTTTATATAAAAAAAAAGTTTTAATTTGTTTGATTGTTTACTATTATTATTTAAAGTTCTTTTTTTATTTTTAATTGTTATTTTTAGATAATTATTAACTGTAAAATGTAATTTTATTGTTTGCTGATATATTTTATTGTTTGCTGATATATATTTTGCCGATTTTTAGTTGAAGTTACTTTTCTTCATTTTTTTTTTAAAGAACGAAGCATGAAGTATAAAGCATGAACTAGAACGAAGCATGAAGTATAAAGCATGAGCTAGAACGAAGCATGAAGTATAAAAAACCAGAAATCGTTTAAAAAAATTTAAAACCCGCATTTTAAAAGTTTTTTTCAACTCTTTTCCAAAAAATATCAGACATGTGAAAAATGAGGGGGTTCTAAATTTTCTATGGCCGCATTTTCTAACAAAAATTTAGATAAAACTTAATATCTTACTAAAAATTAAAAAATTAATAAAACTAAAAATTAAAAATAAAATTAAAAATAAAATAAAAAATAACAAAATTATGATCGTATTTAAAGAATTTGTTTTTTAAAACTAATTTATTTCATTTGGGGATACTAAGAGAAGTTTTTGGAGGTCATTTTAGTTCCCATTTTCAAATCACACAAAGTCTGCCTCAAATCAAAGTTTTTTAATAATTTAGGGATTAGAATCAATAGAACGGCACAAAAAAAGTCAATATTCGGACAAATTAATTTCAATAAAATTAATGTTAAACTTAACTCGATAAAAATTGATTTCAATTATCTGATAATTAGTTTAAATTTGTTACAATACTAACTTTTAAAATTAAAATAAGCTAATATAGAAAGCTAAAAAACGAAACAAATGTTTTTTATTAAAACAAGCCTGCAAAGACTTCATTTAGAAAATAGGAGGTTCTATTTCTGTTGTCATTTCTGTTGTCATTAGAGACAAAAATATCTAACTCTGGAGAGGATTAGCTTGTTGATTCATCTAATCAAAAACTTTTTGACTTTGTTGTTTTCAGTTCAAAATAAGTTCTCATCCAAATGAAATTTATTGAAATTTTAAAACAAACCTTAAACAGAAAAGTAAGACTAAAGCTGCAGAGACTTCTCTTTGTTCTATAGAAGAGTTCTATAGAGAGCTTTTTGTTCTATAGTCTTCATTAAGTTAAAAATTGGTAAAATAAGAACAACTAGATGACAACTATTTTCTTTATAGAGCAGTAAAAGTTGTTTCTTGTACGCTAGAAGAACAAAAAGTTTATAGAGCACTAAAAGTTGTTTCTTGTACACTACAAGAACAAAAAGTTTATAGAGCACTAAAAGTTGTTTTTTGTACACTACAAGAACAAAAAGTTTGTGATAAATAAATAATAAAAATAAGTTGCAATAAAAAAAAAATGCTCTTCCTCTTAAAGTGTAAACAATCTGTAGATCACCTGATCACCTGATCACCTGATCACCAGATCACCTGGTGATCAGGTGATCAGGTGATCACCTGATCACCTGATCACCTGATCACCTGCAAGGCGTATAAGAAAACGATCTGTATCACCTGCAAGGCGTATAAGAAAACGATCTGTATCATCTGATCACCTGCAAGACGTATAAGAAAACGATCTGTATCATCTGATCACCTGCAAGACGTATAAGAAAACGATCTGTATCATCTGATCACATGCAAGGCGTATAAGAAAAGATACCATCGTGAACTTAAAGATAAACAATGATTTTTTTAAATTTTATTCAACCTAACATTAATAAAAAAGAGAAGAAAAGATGTTTGGAGATCCAGAATGCTGATAATACAAACAAGTCACATCTCCTGGATAAGTTTTAGGATATCAATTTAAAAGTAGTAAAAACTTTTTTTAAGAATGTATTGTTTATTGTAATGACATATCTATGCTTGTTAAAGAAGTGTGTTCTTTCAGGAAATTAAATCTTTTGAATTCTTTTTTACGTGTTATTGATATATATATTCATGGAGGGATCTTTGAAGATTGTCATGAATATTACTGACCGTTCAACTTCCCATTCTCAGTCAAAAAAATAGAAGTACACCGGGGTCAAAAAAGTGAATATTCTAGGCGTAGTTTCAAATTTAGAGGAAAATTACAAGAATTTAAAAAAACTTTTCCAACTTTTTCAACTCAATCAATTAAAGTTTATTTTACCACTGACTTAAAACTCATCAAGATTATCCTTTAATAATCTGTAAGTACCTTATTTCGTTATTTAAAAGAGTGAAAAATGTAAACTATAAAAGACTAATACCTAAATGTTTTTTAGTTAGAGTGACGTTGGAAAATACTCATGTTGTTGTGATTAATTTGTTATTTTGGATTACTTACAGATAAATTTAAAAAGATTAAAGGCAAATTTATCTACAGATGTAATATTACAAAAATATTATTAATCCGTCCGAATTAATTATCAAGGTAATTTCAACGCCTGAATGCCATATTATGAAGATCATGTTAGTAAAACTGTCGATCTCCTTCTAACTGATAAGTATTTGGAGAACTTTCTTGAAAATAAAACTATTATTAGGCATGATGTAGTGGTGGAGAATTTAATGGATCCAACTGTGCTAGTGTTTTCAGATCCTTAAACGAAATGACACTCCATTCTCTAAGTAAATAACTGAAATGTATTGAAACCCAGAATAAGTTTGAAGATAATTTATTGCTTTTTAAACTGTTTTTAACACATAAGAACGTTTTGAACTCAATAGTACAGATAAGAGATAATATGCAATATGACCACCATTTGGTTTAGAGACACGAGTATGTTAGTATTATTATTTTTAACAGGTTATATTTTATAGCCTTTGTTTGATTTGTTTCTAAATGCTGTTTTGTATAAAGCTTGATATATTCTTTCCCGTAGGGAATTGGGTTGACATTAACTAGCTACAACTTGTAACGATAAAGATAGCAATTTGGCCACAACGATCTCATGCACAGCGTGAATATTTTAATTTGAGACATATGCATGTTTTGCGTGTGTCCCTTGAGGCAGAACATTTTTCTGCATTTTAAATATATTTTTGTTAAGAGAAAAAATATTATTTCACTAAAATTTAGATTTCAAATTTTATTAAAACATTTTTTGAGCGTTTTAAATTCTTAGAAAGAAGGTCAAAAACAAGATGGGGTTATATCTCTAAGCCCATTTTTAAACAAAAAAGTGACTCGCTTGTTAGTAATTAAACTAATTTCCAACCATAAATATCATCTTAAACAAAATCTTAAACAGTCACAAAATCAAGTCATAAACAGCCCGTAAAAATTGACTGATTGTAGCTAATGATAGAAATAGTCTTATACTGGCTAATAGCAGCTATTACTGACCTTATGTTACAATATAGAGCAAAAACACTTTTCAATAAATACCACTTTGCAGCATTGGTTGATTAAACGTATTGCATTAATTATAACTCGCTGCAAGAATAATAATTTATCACTATATAAGTTCATTAAAAGAAGCAATAACTCAAGATTACTCTTTGTTTTATACTAATATATTAAAGTTCAAGTCTTGGTTATACTAAAGTTCAAGCCTTGATTATACTAAACTTTACTAAACAAGTTGTAAAATAATGTTACTCACATATATGCATGCACTATGCATTCATTTTCATGAAGTGCAATCTGTCGTGAGTAAAGACAATTCTATTTAACAGAACTAAGGGAAGATCGCATAGATTTAACAATAAAACCTGTCGTGGAGAACATACTCTCTATTTTAAGACTGTCTGCAGTTATGGCCAGAAATTCAAGTGCTAGTTTTTTTCCAAGTGGCGATTCATCTTGCAGTTATTTTTCCAAAGACCTTGATTCTGATCAGCATCTCCTATTGAGGTTGAAGTTATCTTTGTTATCAGAGGTTGAAGTTATCTTTGTTATCAGAGGTTGAAGTTATCTTTGTTATCAGGGCCAGTTTGGCACTTTTTTGTATCGATACTGAACAGTGCTGACAATTCATTAGTCTGGAAAACAAAATTTAACTTTTTTTGTGTAACAGAAATTATATTTTTCTGGTGCAGTTTTTTAAACTGCACCAGAAAAGTAAAAACCAAAAAGTAAACCCTAGTTTTTATATGTATTGATTTAATGATTTATTACGTTTATGCATGTATTATACATAAATTACAATAGAAAACGTTTAGTCATTTCACGTTAGCTATTCTAGAGCGTTTATATGGTCGCTTGGACATAGCTTCTAGAAATTTTGTTGCTACTGTACTTGCTACTTGCAACCTAAAAATACACCTTGATTTTCTCCGAACTTAACAAGGAGAAATTGGAAATCAAATATTCAGATGCTGTACCATTTTTCATCAGTTTGAGTTTTATATGTAAAGGTGGCTGGAGAATTTTGCTGCGCTGAACAAGTGCTACATGAATCACACTCTTGATACAATGCTCTAAGGATTGTCTCTTAGACCGTTTTCGTTTAATATAATGATCTGCCTTTGCTCGAGCATCCCACTCACAGAGAAAGCAATAGAACTTTGTAGAACGGAACAGCAGTTTTTGAAATAACAACCAAATACCAACTGAACTCAGTTGGTATTTGGTTGGTGGGTCTGGCACAGGTAGAAGGAATCTCAAAGCACTTGAAATATTTAGATATTGTATTGATTGTGTGGTCTTCTTTGTGGTGTCATGATCTATGCTGGTGCCATGCAAAAGTAACAGTTAGTAACATGATCAGTTGGTTCCCTCCAAAGTATGGGTAACATAAATGACATGGCTTGTCTAGTGTTATCTAACCTAGTTGAAAGCCTTGCGATACAAAAAGTAAAAAAAATGTGACGAGCCCAGGGTTGTTCATGATC